GAAGATTATCATAGGTATAATAAAGTAATGAGAATCTGGTACTAAGCATTACTGGCCTTTTGCAATTTTTTCTCGTCGGATACTTCTTTTTACTTTAACGCTAGAGGACAATTCGTCGTGGTAAACAGAGGCAGTGTAAACAAGATTTTATTTAGGAACTGGTTCCGCTGCATGTTCAGCCTTAGCTATAGAAAAGGTCTTGTCATTTTCGATCCGTAGTACTACTTTATTCACCTGGTCATTCAGGAGGAACCGGTAACCTATTTATTTGAACGATTGTGTCCATTCGACGGTCTAACTCTTGATGCATAACTGCTGGAATAATAACAACCCCGATCGGGTTCAGAATACCTTTGTTATCGATGTAGTCAACTCTAACGGAATGGGCTTCGTAAAATCGATTGGGTTGGGGAATGATTGGTGTAGCAAATGAATCTTCAAGGACAATGGTATCGCTTGTCAACTCCAGACCTAAGTTTCTGTTTTTGTTATTCACCTGGGATGCCGGTGTTGTCATCTGATTGCGTGTCATCCAGTCGACGGCGTAGTCAAGTAGCATCTTCTGCCGAGCTCAGAGGCTCCTCAGCGCATGTGCTGAGCCTTGCTGTAGCAGTTGGGTATCGTTACCCATGGAGCCCTAGGATTTTATCAAGCATCTCATCAGTGTTGATTACCGTCTAAAACGAGTCCTGTTCGGTCGAGTCGAAGGCGACTTTGGGTTTTGGTCGTGAAATAAGTCAATATCAACCATGATCGAAAACTGAATTTGTCAGAAAATGACATATAGTCTTTCTGGCTTCAGCATTGAACATTGAAAGTAGGATTGATGGCGCAAACCCCGAAATTTCCGCTTACTAATACCAAACCATGTCTTCGACCGCCGCAGAAAACGAACTGTAGGGAACGTGTTACTGTTTCAGTCATGAAGGCAGTGACCAGATGGATGGGAAAACGTTATGCAATCAAATCACGTGTTTGAATTCAAGAATTTTTTAGTTACAAATTTCCAATAATATCAGATTATTTTCCAATTTAGCCTATTGAATTGCAGTCGTTGTTGTTGATGCCTATTCAAGGACCAAAGTTCGCAATCTATTACGTTTCAAAAGATTTTGTCACTGTTAATCCTGCATGTCACTCCCTATTAGATGCACGTTTATGAATAGTCGCATTGTCCCATCATAGTCAAAGTTTTATTATGGGTGATACTTACAAGCGGTTACTTTCCTTGTCCCTTGGAATTTTCACATAGATGGATCGATTTGCGGTTCACAAAAAGATAGTTTGACCGCCTCGGATCTTTTTCCAACCACTACCTGCCTCGGCAAACATCGCTCGCTGTGGCAACCTATCTGGTGACATGCTCCAGTGGACGACCTCGATTACTTAAAACTCTGCGCCTAACCTCAGCATTGCTCGTCCGAATTCCACATCAGGCTCGCGCAATGCTACGTAGACAGCGGTGTTCAAACACCCGACAATCTATTTATATCCTGTTCCCGTGATGGCAAAGTCTCTGCACTGTAAAGCAGAACTAGCCAAACTGCTGCAGCATATACTTGACCCTTTACAGACACCCGGATGTCTTAGGTACCCATTTGGAAAACCATCTTTCGCAACTGTCCATTTCTTTTTTTCACCCCCAAACCTTAAGAGGTGCATCCTGTTTTCGCCACCCATGGGATATCACTCAGGGTGCAGAAACAACGTGAGGTGGTAGAAAACTCCAATTACCACACACGTGCCAATCCACATGTGTGATACGTTTGCATGCTGACGGCCTGATACATCCTACGAGGTACACGACAGCGTCTATGTCTGAACCCTTTAAAAGAATCCTACACATCGCATTCTCGATCAGTGTTTTCTCTCTTTAAATACACCGTAAAGCAAGAAATGACTCGCTGTTTTCTGACTACCCAAGCTCATCCATTTTTCCCTAACATAGTTAGCCTGTCTTTCGTTCTGTTAGTGACACGATGCAACACATCCACGTGCTGATGCAAACGGGTGTTTCGCAAGTGCGCATCCGCACGCACATGCAAAGAACAGAAACACCTTTGGGATCCGCGTTAACTTCCCACGCGGTTTTCAGGATTGGTACCTAGCACGTCGTATTCCAGCGTTAGACGTTGGTCCGACGAACACGTGTTACCAATTTACCACTTTTCGAATTGGTCTAGTTAAAAACAATCGCACGTTATTCAGGATGCGGATCCGCTCGGTTCGATGGTAAAGTATCCAAGATCAGACCATTGGTACAAAATAAAGTGACCGTACCGGATTACGCATCCCAATACATTCCTCTTTATATGGCCCATTTTCCGGACTGAAATCTCCTCTTCCTTTTTTGTATCCTGTTTCCCGTACATCGTGTCGCTGTGATTGAACCTTGTCAGGCTGATTTTTGGAACAATCTGTTCTCGTAACGTCATCTTTAGGCATTTCAAGTTACATGCATGCGTGTACACAAATCACATTGAAATATCGCCTAACGAGTAATATGGAATTTGGGCGTGCAAAGTCATCGAGATAATTTAAGTTGTAATATACAGGCTGAGAGAAGGAACGAGGCGCGGGGGGGGGGAGAAGGTCAGAGGTCATCTCTTCCGTTGACCTTGGGGTTGGACATCATCATCATCGTGTCACAGTCAGATTTATTATCTAAGTCAACCGGAAGCCAGGAGTGCATATCCTGTCTACTATGATTGGCAGTCTTACATCCTGTTTCTTTTCGCCAGTCGCTCATTTGTTCGTGCGCTTTGTCTTGGATTTTTGACTATCAGAACGTGTAGAGTTGGGCATATGGGCTTGAACCAACGTGCAGTTCTTTTACTTGTTCGGACGCAAAAAGTTCAGACATTTTATTTTACTCGTTAGTTTTTGACTATCTTCTTATGGGGGGATTGTCTGTCCCCACTGTATTTTGGCTTTGTGACTATAACGAGGCGCCATCGAACTGTGTCAAATTGACTGTGCAGTATGACAGTGATTGGACTTTTATCTGGTCAGTAGGTGTTTTAGTATTTGGGGTCTGTTATGGGCTACGCATCGCTCACATACCTCGCTACTGTCAAACACCGGGGTTAATGGTTATATCTTTTCTCCACACACCACACCATTTTGTTTGTACTTGGTTTCTCCGTACAAGTGGTTTGTTGTTTCCTCTTCGGGTTCTCATTCTTCTGCTCTAAAATGGGTTGTTCAATTCTCCACGTGATGAATTACTCTTTGAAGCAGCACTATCTGTTTACTATTTTGGCAAATCTGATTGATAAAGGGTATAGTAGCGGATAAAGGTCACTGGCCTGTTGTTTCGTTCTTGTTGGAACCCATCAGTAGTAGTAGTAGTAGTAGTCGCAGTCGTAGTCGTAGTAGTCGTAATAGTTGTAGTTGTAGTAGTAATAGTTTTGTCTTCCTATCCCAATCAGAAACGCGAACATTTGTAATCGGGATCCCAAATCCAGACCCCTGAGTTGAACCATCAACGGTATCGCAATAAGCAAATGGGAACATGAGTCAAACAAGAAAAATATGTGCTACGCATTTCCTGGTATCTGAGGGAATCTATGTGTCATACAAGAATAATTCTGTTTCAGCAAGTCTTTCTTCAACACTGGCCTTCAGTGTCATCACAGTCGGTGCCTCCTTCCCCCTCCAGTTTGTTACTAAACGCACTCGAAATGGTGATCAGTGTTGAAATCGATTTCACGTTTAATTCTTCACGTGTTCCTGACTCGGTTACGTTCACTGAAAGTAATTATTTCTTTTGTAAAAAGTACATAATCAATCGGATCGCAGAGAAGATGCCACAAGAATGACTTAACTTACCTAAATGTGTTTAACGTTCGTGATTATCAACGTTGTGTGATCACGCAGTCATAAATTAGGCTACTGTATGTTATCAATCCTAAAGTAACTTCTATACAGGGAAATTAGTCCACATCTGTCACAAATTCGTAACATACGACCGGAGTTTTATTCCAAGTAACACAGTCAGTGTTTCGGGTGCCAGTAGCGTCATCGCAAAATGCTGCAAAAGCAACGTTTGTTCAGGGTGCTAAACAAACTCGTAAATGAGGTCAACCATAGACGCGCTCAACTCGTGGGTTGAATATACTTCAGATAGCCGATTCTCCGGAAAAAGGGGGAATTCCAAACAAATTGCTAGACCGAAGAGACACGAACAACCATGAACCAAAGGTCTAATGAACCATGCACACGACTCCCACTCGATCCAGAATGGCTGTGACGTGCTCATAGTTGCCTAGCTTTATCGCAATCTATACACCTCCTGAAGCCTGTAAACACAAACTCATATTCAGAATGCTTTGATGATTATCCTACTTTGCGCTTTTGGTTTTTCTAAATTTTGGCTGTGTATTGCTGGTTTTTTGTAATACAAATTAATATAAACGCTCAATAAGCCGATCTAGCCCATGTGCCTAAAGTGCCTCCGAAAGCCTCAGTATGGTTGGGGTGGGTGTCTCGGTTTGTGACTGGTCACCATTCCCTTACACCTCGCGAAATGCTCCCATATGACCAAGCGTCTCAAATAGCCTCTGCTGAGGACGCCCTGCTCACTGCATTCCCATGCCAAAGGTGTTTTCCCATTAAAGTGAGAGGAAGAAAAACCAACATCCGGGGCTATAACCGGGTTGGCGAACCATTGGCAACTCATGTAGGGGAATTGACTCAAAACCCTGATTCCAAATCAACCAAGAAGAGCCGTACGAACCACACGCACACCTTCCTGGTTGCGGCAGTGGTCACCGGTTCAAATGGGCACCAAGGTGTATTGGACAACTTGGACGTTTCACCCCGTCCAAAGACCATGTGATTCAATGAATTGGGCACCGGTCCTCAGTGGACTGCGGACTCTGCGGTTCGTCCTGTTCTCTTGCGGATCTGGCTTTCTGGCTAAAGACTTCGAGTGGGGACCCCGAGGTTATCTCCCTTTCTTGGTCAGGGCAACCGGGAAGTAACATGCCCATACAACCTATGAACACGTTCTACAGATTTCTTTTTGTTCATATGTTGTGGTACATTTGCCATTTCTCTGTAATTTTCTNGATAATAATGTGCCTAAAGTGTTGGCCGTTGACTATATAGCTCAGAGCAAACGGCTTCCACTCCCAATCACAGTATGCACAGTTACAGCGTCGGCTGAACCACTTAATCTGCGCACTTAAGACCGTCCAGTGCTCGTTTTCAGTCGATACACAAATAGTTTCTTTTTCTCATCTGAAAAATAAAGTATTTGAGTATGTGGAATGCTGGCTGATTAAGAATTCAAAGACCCACATA